CCATGTTTCTCTTTTATTAGATAGGATTATTATATAGATACTAGAGGCCCAATGCACGAAATTCATGCAAGGGGCTCAGCCCCCACCACCTCAGCGGCTGCCTCTACCTCAGCCCCTGCCTGCTGTGGCAGCCGCCTCTGCCTCGGCTTCATCCGGAAGGTTGCCCGGTCTAATTAGCATATTACGCTTTTATTATTATAGATATTTTTATTGACTTCAGCTAGAAGGGAGAGGGAGAGTGAGATAGAAACATCAATGGATAGAGTGAATCATTGATGCCTCCTGCACACTTCACACTGGGGATCGAGCCCGCAACCAGGCATGTGCCCTTGACTGGAATCAAACCCATAACCCTTCGGTGGCAGATGCTCTATCCACTGAGCCAAACCAGCTAAGAGGTCATGTCTCTTTCCATCACCATTTATTCTCCCTTTACCCTTTCCTGCCTCTCCCCACCCCTATTTAAACCTGTGCCACTTTTAAACCAAATATGTCTCTCTCATGGCTTTTCAGAATTCTCATTTATTTATAAAGCCATAGGTCCTCTAAAAGTTGTCTTAGCACTTTCATTCTTTCTGCCATTGTTTTTTCTTGTTACTCTGAAATACATCTAGCTCTTTTTTAAAAAATTTATTTGGGGGGAGGGGGGATGAGAGAGAGAGAGAAAAAAAGATCAATGTGAGAGAGGTACTTCCATTGCACGCCTCCCAAACATGCCCCAACCAACTGGGGCTGGGGATCGAACCTGCAACCTAGGGTTTGCTTTATTACTTTGCCTTTGAAGTTCAGAGAAGGTACTGTGGAGCTGCGTCTCAGACCTCTGAGGAGGGGAACACTGCATGGCTGGCACTGCTATCTCAGAAGAATGCCTGTGAAGCTGGGATCAGCCTTTGAAGAGGCAATTCTAGCCAACTGGTTGATCATAGTGTCTGAAGATGTAGGTAGGGGGCGTGTTAATGCTGTTTCTGGGAGTTCTGGAAAACTGCAAACTGATATTAATTGATGTTACTGGAACAGACTGCTTCTTTAAGATGAACTGTTGCTGGGGTGACTGGATAAGAAGCAAAAAGGAAAGGAGCACGTGTTTTCCTGCTACAGCTTTCCAGTCTTCCTAAAAGAGAGCCAGCTGTCCAAGAAGAAATGTACTTTGCATAGACTTAACCTTAGCACCACAAAATAGAGTATAGAAGGCTGGTTGGAAGCTGAGGGGTGGCTTAATCAGCATTTCTTTAAAGCTCATTCAGAGGTTCAAAAGACCACATGTTGTAGAGATTAATAATAATACTGTTGGGCTCCTACAATTCATTATCACTATTGACTAGGTGATAGTGATGTCTGGTAGCACTGACTTGATCATTTGTATTGTAAGTGCAGTTAGGAGCATGGCATGTTCATGAAGCTGGGAAGATGATGTAGCATGATGATAATCAGATAGGAGATTTAAAAAAAAATCTCTTCTACATAGTAGAGACTGGATTGAAGACAGCACATGAGTAAATGCAGGTAGATTAGTTAGGAGACAATTATACTGATCTGGAAGAGGTGAGGATATTTTCGACAGTGTTCTCAAGATGTGGTCCATGTACCACTTGACTTGAAAATTTGTTAGAAAAGTAATTCTTGCCCCCACCCCAGAGTCAAAAACTCTGTAGATGGGATATAGCTACTGTTTTAACAAACCCTCCAGGGTATTCTGAGACTTTCTTTGAGAACCATTTGTTTAGGCCCAATAGGCTCCAGAGATAATAATAGGCCATAAGGCTTATACAGGACTTGGAAGTTGGTTGGATATGGCTTGCAGGGGTGAAAAGCTTCATTAGAGGGACTAATGAAAAACATTTTAATATTGCAGATTAACACATTTATTTATCTAGTTTTATTTGGATAAATTATGCTTAATCTTGAGTAATGACCACGTAAGGTTAGGCATTCTGAGAGTGTTTTTCTGAGACTGGTCTAGTTTTATTTATTTATTTTTAATCCTCACCCAAGGATATTTTTCCATTGATTTTTTAGAGAGAGTGGGAGAGACAGAGAGAGAGAAACATTGTTGGAGAGAGACACATTGATTGGTTGCCTCCCCCATGGGGATCGAGCCTGCAACCGAGGTACATGCCCTTGACCGGAATCAAAACCGGGACCCTTCAGTCCACGGACCCACACTCTATCCACTGAGCCAAATTGGCTAGGGCTCTTTATATATATTGATTTCAGAGAGGAAGGGAGAAGAAGAGAGAGAGAGAAACATCAATGATGAGAGAGAATCATTGGTCGGTTGCCTCCTATACACTCCCTGCTAGAGATTGAACCTGCAACCTGGGCATGTGCCCTGACCATGAATCAAATCCTAACTTCCTGGTTCATGGGTCAATGCTCAACCACTGAGCCACACCGGCTGGGCTGGCCTTGTTTTCTTGAGGCCAGAATTTACCTTGTCTCTCACAGCACGTGAAGTGTGTCTTGTTTGTGGTTCACATCCAGGACAATGACTTTTTGAGAGTTACTTCTGTATACACCAAGAAGTCAACTGACTTTATCAAAGTAAGAGATAATTGGTTTTGAGTTTCTTCTTATTTTTAACTACCAGTAAACTGGTATTTTTAACTAAAGCATGTGGATTTAGGTTTTTTTAACTTTCAAAACATAGTCACGCACCACATAACAACGTTTCAGTCAATGACAGACCACGAATACGTCATTGGTATACCATATAGCTTAGGTGTGTAGCAGGCAGTATCATTTAGTTTAATGTACATATACGTATATTCTGATGTTCCCATATGATGAAATCTCCTAAGGAGCATTTCTTAGAATGTATCCCTGTTGTTAAGCAGTACCTGACTGTATAAAATAGCAATATCATATCAGAAACTTTTATTTTTTAGTGGTATACTTTCCAAGGGATTTTTTAATGGAAAGTGATTAGTATTAGAAGGATACTTTTCACCCTAGCTGGTTTGGCTCAGTGGGTAGAGCGTCAGAGTTCATTGCACACATTTAAAAAAAAAAAAGAGACGGGTCTTTGAGTGGTGAACACACTGTAGATGATGTATTATAGAATTGTACACCTTAAACCTACATAATTTTATCAATGTAACCCAATAAATTCAATTTATGAATGAATGAATGAAGTGGTACAGGTTTACAAGACAGGTCAGGTTTTCAGGAAAGTAAAGGGTTTATAGGACAGCTCAGCAGACCATAATATTAAAGAAAAGGCAGACTGATAAAAATGTTAGTCAAATTAAATCTTTAAAATTGTGGGAAATGAATTTTATGAATTATACTTATGCTGTACCTAACAATATTTAATTACACCCCCTTTATGGCATAGTAAAATTAGCAGGACATTTTAACTATTTGCAGAGTAGACTGAAATTTGAAGACAGCCCTACCTCGTTTGGCTCAGTGGATAGAGCATCGGCCTGAGGACTGAAGAGTCCCGGGTTTGATTCTGGTCAAGGGCACATGCCCAGGTTGCAGGCTCCATCCCCAGAAGGTAGTTTGCAGGAGGCAGCCGATCAATGATTCTTTCTCATCACTGATGTTTCTATCTCTCTCTCCTCCCTTCTTCTCTTAAATCAATAAAAATATGTTTTAAAAAAAGAAATTTAAAGACAGATGTATTATTTGAGAAATTAGTGAGAGGAGAATCTGGATTAAAGATTCAGTCTTTGCTGAAAGGAACACATGAATGTTTTCTTTGTACAGTGGCAAAAGAGAAAACTTTTGGCAGATGAGACAGAAGATGAAGCTCTGATGTGGAATGTGTACTCTAAATCAATCTATGGTTCCATCAGAAGTTGGAACTACATTTATCTGATTTATTTACCAAATTAACAGTAGATAAACTAAAATACTGTACAGAGGAATTCTTTGCATAACACATCAATGTTTCTAATATTCAAAAGATCCCTGAGAATATATAACAAACTGCTGTCTGCCTTCACAAGTTTCAGTTTTAGATAAGATTACCATTTTAATACAATTTAGTTTAATTGCATGTTGCAAAGAACATTGGAAAAGCCAGTTTTCAGAGTTTTCTTCCAATTGATTAAAGCCAAGTGATGAAATCAAAACTTTAAATTCTATTTACAGGTAAAGAAATTACTTTTTCTCCGTTAAAAGTTAACATATAATTACTTTTTAAAATATTACTTAATATTAGTCTTATGGAGTCACTCTAGTCATAGAATAACACTAATACTGACTTAACATTTTTAAATAATGAAATCAAATTATTTTTAAAATTCACCTGTTGATGGAGAAATACAATAATCATCTTCTACAGACTGGCCATAGAGATCATCATCTTCAAAATCTAAAATAAACACACAAGAGATAAATTCATTACAAGTTCTTTATATATTATTAGTTATTAACAAGAAAGCATCTGGATTCTTTCCAAAAGAAATTAAATTGTTCATCAAAATTAAAGGAACTTGGATTGTCCACTTTTCCTAAAAATTTTACCTACAAAATAGGTATTTACTGACGTTATGTATTTATACACTTACTAGAGGCCCACTGCACAAAATTCGTGCAAGAGTAGGCCTTCCTTCCCCCGGCTGCTGGCACTGGCTTCCCTCAGGCACCCGGGACCAGGGATTCTCTCTGGTCCCAGCTTCGTCCAGAAGGACGTCCTAAATGACGTCTGGTCTAATTAGCACATTATGCTTTTATTATTATAGATAGAAACATACATGGTTCTTCAGTTTTTAAGATAATTGGGTCCAATTTTTCACCTCATGTGATCAAAAAGTAATAATCCCACAGACCACATACTTAAATTCTTTCCAGAGTTGACAAATATCCAAAATGAAAACCACCCATTTATTTTTACCCCCCCCCCCCCAGTCATTTTTACTCCCTAGCACACTCCTCCAATTGAAAGTCTTCAAAGCACTTTACCCGTTTCACTCCACGAGATTATAAGCTTCTTCAGGGCAAGACTCTGTCTAGCCAACTACCTGGCACATGTTTGGTACTAAATTTAAACGTGTTTTATTATAAATGAACCAAGCAATTTAAAACTAAAAACTCACAAAGAATATAAATATGTTTTCACAAAGTATTTTATTCATTCAACAAATACTAACACTATGTCAGGGACTATTAGAGACATTTGGGGTACAAGAGTGAGTAATAGGCACTTTCCCAAGATCTTCACAAACCTGAAATCAAACAGAGAAGACAAAAAATGGGCAATTACAAGACACAAAGGGCAAGTGTTTGACTTGAATTGGGAGTGGGGTGGCTAGAGAAAGATCCCAGGAATACAATACTTAAACCAGTTCCAAAGGATAGTTAGCTAGTTTCTGAGGGTATTCATGAAGCAGGAACTCTTATTCTAAGACTAAGACCAACTGTTTATGGCAAAGAAAAAGTAAATAAATCTACTATTGGATTAACATGTGTAATTCAATAAATTAGATCACAAGTCTGAGTTAATAACTTATTAGCAAATAAATGAAGAGCCATTCACAAAAAATATTTTTAGATATAAAAACAATAAGAATCTTTTTCATTGTTTTTTAATACTGAAATTGACCCTAAAAGTACCACAATATAGAAAGACAAAGAAAATTCATTCCTGGTATTTTTGTAAAGCGGTTCTTTTCCTCAACAAAATTTTGGGAGTATTTACTTCATGTAAGCAATGTGGCGGCTACTGGAGTAAATATCAAATATGGACTTTGTCTTCCTGGCACTTTTAAATTAATAGCTAAGGCAGTCATATAATGTGCTATCCAAATTACAGAGAAGAATAAAGCGAGAGTTAAATAGGGGAACCAATAGGTTTTGGAGCATAAACTCTCTCTAATGAAGTTATATTCGTTTTGAGAATTATTATTCTGAGAGTACAAAGGAAAGCTTAACTGGGAAGAAAAGAAATATACTGGACCCTTAAAATGAGTAGAACTTTGTAAGGAAAAGGGGGTGAACCTCCTATTCTAGAGGAATAGCTTGGTTATGATATCATCAATTGTTCCAAAGAAACCTGACAACCGAGCCAGGAGTTTGGCACTCCCTCCCTCAGGCCAAGCACTTCTCGGGGAAGCTCTCCTTCACGTGGAAATCACACTCCACTCCTCGGACACACTCTGAACTAGGCGCTCTTACTTACACAGCTTCCTTGGAACTTACTTTTTGCAGCATCTCATAGTCACTTGAACCCTCTGTGACTTGCGTATCTCCCCCTTTAGACTCCCTCAAACATTTTACTATCGGTCCCCAAAGCTTACAACAGTCCACTAAGCATTCACTTGGAGAAGAATAAAGTGAAAGCTGCCGAGGAAGTAAAACTTATTAAAGAAAAAAATTATTAAAGAAATTACTTCATCAAAGTAATGAGAGCTATTCGTGTCTTTTATAGCATAGCTGCAAAAATACCTCCCAGGCTCAAGTCCTGTCTAGGTAACTGTGGTCAACGTGCCATACTTATTTCCACGGCAATGCTTACGGCGGTCTCCATGCCGAGATGAACACCAGGAACCCAGCACACACTGGCATATAGATGCCAGGCTGGCTGAGCTGCGGCCCCCAGTGCGGCTCAGAGCGTCCGACAGCCCCCGGGACCGGGAGGGCAGACTGATGCTCTACAATAACCTACCGGGAGTGCCGATAATGAACAGCCACCAACATAGCAAGCACATACTACACGCACTACACTCTGCACAGCAACAGGTCTCCGTGCCTCTTCCGCACTCAGTCAAACTTGTCTCTAATTTGTTTGTATTATGCTTGGCGTGGCCCATAATTATCCACTGCCTACAGATGCTGTGCTCATCCTCAACGAATTCCAACTTTTTTAAAACTCCTAGAGAACATTCATATACATTTTATTTCATTTTTTTTTTAAGTCCCTAAATCCTTTTAGAAGCCTTCTTTCTTCTATTACTGGTTTGTTTTTTTTCCCCCATTCCCAAATGCATTTACATGGGGAATTTTCAACCAAGAATTAAGTATACACCTAACATCATCTAATCGACTTATTCTTTGGGTCTTTTTAATAGGTATCTTTTCTACCATCCCCTAAGTTTCCAATTTAATTTGAAACTCGTAGAAAATAATAAGTTAGCTCAAGCCGGATTCTGCACTAACTATGTATGAAAACACAAAAAGATTTACCATGTAAAAGTTAACACCGTTAAAACAAAACAGCTGAATGTAAGCGTTAAGTCAGTCAATCCGTGTGTTGTTACAAATAAGCAAGGTTTCCTGGGCATTTTTTTTTCTGCCTTTCTTAAAAATTTATTTTCCCTTTATTGATTAAGATATTACAAATGTGTCCTTATCTCCCCAATGTCCCCTCATCCCCCCAATCCTGCCCTCACCCTCACCCTCACCCCCTGTTGTCCAATCCATCGCTTATGCTTATCTGCATGCATACAAGTCCTGTGGTTGGCCTCTCCCCCCACCCCCGCCCTCCCCTGCCTTCCCTCGGAGTTTTGAGCATCTGATCGATGCTTCTGTCTCTACATCTGTTTTTGTTCATCGGTTTACGTTGTTCATTATAATCCACAAATGAGTGAGAGCATGTGGTATTTATCTTTCTCTGACTGACTCCGGGGCATCTGTGAAAGGGGCTGGGGAGTCGGGAAAGAGCTGGGAGTCGGGAAAGGAGCTGGGAGGACACCGGGCGAGGGAGAGGCGCGGAGCTCGCGCGGGTCAACACCGCCGGCCCGACCTGCCCGAAGTCCTTCCCGGCCGACGCGGCACTGCACCTCCCCTGCCCTGAAGAAGCTCAACCCCACGGGCAGGAATCACGACATAAAACCAGGCCATTCTCTGGCACGCAGACGGCCTATGATCTTCTCCAACGGAGCCTCCTCGGAATTCCAGGCTGGCACCACTGTCGAGGAATAAACAGATCCAAGTGGATGCCAGTAAGCTGGGATGCCGGCGGACACGGGGGCTGTGACATCGCGGCATCAGCTTGCCACCTACCTTCATCGTAGTTATAGCCTCGAACATTCCGATGCCGGGCCATGGCGGCGAAGACGGCGTTCGCCACAGCGTCTTACAAAACACCCGCTCAGACACTAACCAGGCGCCATCTGCGACCGGGAGAACACCTAGACGCCATTTTGGCTTCCGGCAGGCCTCTGCGCCGAGCGCCTGCGCACGCCGGACGTCCTGTCGGCGCACAGGGCGCGACGGCAACCTCTCAGGGTCACCGCCTCACCGGGAGCGCATGCGCATTCGCGCAGGTGGGCGGGGCCTTTTGGCGTGGCCCCGCCTATAGGCAAGTTGACTGACAGGAGTTCCAAAGAGGCGGGATTCCACTGCTCACAGTTTGTTGATTTGGACCAACAGTTACTAGAAGGTATCCGAGACCTACCCCCGTGTTCCAGATTGTTTTCCAGATTTGGTTTCTGATAAACTAGTGAAAAAGCTGAGTGAGTGCCAGCACTCTGCCTTATACAGCTCTCATCTTTGAGGACCAGTTAGGCCCATAATAAGCACTAACAAACTTGTGTATATACTTTTAAGAATTAACCCAAGCTTTAGGGGGAGTGGAAATGCTCTTTTTAAATTGATAATCTGACTACAATAAGTCACCAGGCTTTCATGTAATACGTGGTTTCGTGTGTATGAGTCTTGCATGAATACCTCTAGTAAACAATTATCTGGCCATATACAGGATATCTCCATGATCCTCTGAGCACTCATTAATAAACAACCCTGTGTAACATGCTAAGAGTATTAAGTATAGCTTTTTAGACTTAACACATCTAGGGCCACTTGTGGTAATGCTGCATGTTGTTGATGAATAACTCTATAACCTATAATTAAATGTGCTCATTTCTTAGAACGCAAAGTGAATGATGCTATGTAAAAGACAATCTCATTATCTTACTGAACAAACTACACTTCAGTTTTAGCTTGAGTTTTTGAAATGGTGATACTTTAAAGACATAAAAGATAAGTCTCCAATTTTTGAAATAAAAGCTTAGTCAGCTTTTTATCATCCATAATAGAAAGAAATAAGAATAAAAATTCAATTTATATTCATAAGTGACTTGAAATGTAATTTATACATGCATTTGAATGTGTCTGACTACCAAATGTTTGTTCTGAACTATCATTGTGGTTTAATGTAGCTCTAAGACAAAATTTTACATGAAAATAGTTGCTAATTGTATATGGTTTAAGTGTTTTTTTTGTTATTTTACACTTTTAGATAATTTTTATCTTACAGTTTGTTTCTTTATAAGTAAAACTAGGGCCCAGTGCACAAATTCGTGCACCTTGACAGGAACTGTGGCCCGCGAGGGTGCAGTGGGCACAGGGGCGGGTCTCAGCCCATCCTCCGTGCCCCTTCCTGGCCTCTCCCACCACAGCCCCTGGCCCCTTGCCAGCAGCCCCACTCCCGCCACAGCTCCCAGGTGCTGAGGGCGCCGGCCCTGCTCACACCCGCTGATGGTGCAGAGCGATGGGGCCTGTGTCAGCAGCAGGTGCGAGTGGCGGCTGCTGCCCCAATCACTCCTCAGGAGCAGGGGAGGTGGAGAAGACCTGAGGGGCGATTAGGGCTGGTAGCCGCCGCTTGCACCCACTGACAGCACTAGCAATCGGGGCTGGCTTTGGGCACTGGCAGTGGGTGCGAGCGGCAGCTCTGGCACAGGCTGCAGTGCGAGGGGGCATGGCTGCCGACCCCAATCGTCCCAGCAGCCACCACTTGCATCCACTAACAGCACTGAGGGGCAGGTGTCAGGTGCTAGCAGCAGGTGCGAGTGCCTGGCGGAACCATGGTGTGCAGGAGCAAAGAATTTTCAGTAACTACCAGAAGCTTGCCCTGATGACAGTGACCAGCACCCCACCTTGTTCTGGTGCCCCCACTCACGTGCTCCACCATCCCGCTGCAGCCGATGCCTGCCATGTTCCATGCATGCTCCCTGGTGGTCAATGCACGTCATAGTGACCAGTTGTTCGGTTGTTCTGCCGTTCGGTCTATTTGCATATTAGGGTTTTATATATATAGATGGGGTAGTAATAGTACATAACTCATAAAGTTGTGAATAATAAATTTATCTATGTGAGTTCACACAAATCTTTAGGAGGTGCTTTAAATTTTCAGATGGTATTAAAATACAAATAGCACCCAGGCTGGTTTACCTACGTGGTTAGAGCATTGGCCACAGACAGAAGGGTTGATGGTTTGATTCCCAATCAAGGGTACTTACCTCAGTTTCAGGTTAGATCACAGGCCCAGGTTGGGGCACATGTGGGAGGCAATCAATAGATGTGTCTCTCTCAGGTCGATGTTTCTCTCTCTCTCTCTCTCTCTCTCTCTCTCTCTCTCTTTCTCTCTCTCTCTCTTCCTCCTCCCTCCCTTCCACTCTCTAAAAATCAATCAGAAAAAATTTCCTTGGGTGAGGATTTAATGAAATAAAACACAAATGGCAACTTCCAGCCCATTCTAATTGTTAATTACAAACTTTAGTGTAACTCACTGAGATATGAAGTAGATGAGTTATATAAATTGACTACACAAACAAAACTACAGGAGCAATAAAGAAAAAGAAACCATAATACTTCTGCCTTAGGGGTACTATACAATTTGCCTCTGATTCATCAATAGTGCACTCCCTTAAAATTCTAAGTATTTGAGAGCCTTGATTACATCTCAAGCAAAATAAGGCTTTAGTAGCAAGGCCTTCACTGATTTCCAAATTTGGTTTCTGATAATCTAGTGAAAAAGCTGACTGTGTGCCCCCAGAGCTCTTGAGATGTGCTTATAAGTTTTGTATTGTGGTTTGATGGAAAGTACCATGGCTATGGAGTCACACAAACCTGGATTTCAGTACCTCTTCTGCCACTTTCTGTACGCTAATGTCTTTGGGCTCAATTTTTTCATCTGTAAAATGGATATAAGAAGATATGTCTTCTATTTTGTGAATAGTAAATGAAATGATGGATGTAAAAACAGTAGCTGGTATATAACAGGTCTATAAGGGAAGGAAAATTCTCTACTTGCTTTAGGCCTCCAACTGGGTCTAAGAAATAAACTGATATAAGACAAGTTAACAGGAAAAAATAGTACATGTTTAAAGTTTTACTGGTATATGGGAGCCTTCACAGCATAATGAAGACCTGAAGAAGTGACCATAGCCGAAAGCTCTTATACCTCTGGTTCAAAGAAACAGTCAATTTATGAAGAATTGATGAGACAGTGGGGCTTGGGCATGGGTAATAAATTATGGGAAAGTGAGTAGAAGACATATGGTAGGGATGGTGGTGGCAAAACTGCTAGAAGATAAGGGATATTTCAGTAACTTTGTGGTGGTCATTTTGCAATACGTACAAATATCAAATCCTTATGTTGTACACCTAAAACTAATACAGTGTCATATGTCAATTATATCTCAATAAAATATTAGGAACTTCTATTCATCAAAAGACAACATTAAGAAATTATGAAGGCAAGTTTCAGCCCAGAAGAAGATACATGCAGCACATATATCTCACAAGAACTCATATGTAAATTAAGTTCTATAACTTAAATTAGTTCTATAACTCTCTGTCTGGCCTAATGATATTCTTACCCTCCTCTATGGAATTTCCCTTGACTTCCTTCACATATTATTCATTTTTCCCCCTCTTCTTTCTTTATTTTTATTTTATTTAAGGCAGAAATTCAGCTGAGTGAAAATTGGCAAGAGCCAGTGAACAGGTCCTTTATCAAGACAAAGCTTTGCTCCCAAGGGGCTTGGGGCTGTCCAGGACTCCACGCTTGGCAGAAGCAATGACAGCATAACTAAACAAACAAGGAGGTATTCAGGGAAGCTGAAACCGGATCTTCAAAGAAGATTCAGTGGGTGATTTTTAATTTCTGTGTAGCATTATAGAGCTGAATGCAGAACATATCAAAAACTTGGAAAGGCACTGGTAAGGTCATGAACTTCATAAAACAGAAAGATTCTTGAGAAGAAAAAAAAAATAGAAATCAAGAGTTTTATATTTAGATATGACTACTACTTGGGAAATACCAGCAAAGCAATAATGCCTGGGCAAAACCATCTTCCTCTGCAGGAGATCCTTTTAACCACCAATCCAGGGCTATTTGGCTGTCAAGCACTTTATTATGAAATATAATAATAAAATAAATATGGTTCAGGAGTTCTTTATAAGATCCACTTTTCAAAAGTTCATGTTGTTGCAGTTTAAAATCTTCCAATGGAGCCACATTTACTCATGAAGTAAGTCCAAACCCTTAGAAAGGCATAGGAGGCCCTTGTGGTCTCGCTCCTGCCTGATTTCCCATCTTACCTTCCACCGCTCCACCACCCTACCTGAGTGACTCTATGGCATAGCTCCTACTTTCAGGGTTTCAAGTCCAGCCATGCTCTTTCTGCCCTTTACTTCTCCAAAAAATTAAAAATAGAACGGCCTAATGACCCAGTGATCCCACTTCTGGAAATATATCTGAAGAAACCCACAAGGTTAATTTGAAAGAACATGTGCACCCCTATGTTCATTGCAGCGTCATTTCTAATAGCCAAGCTTTGGAAGCAGCCCACGTGCCCATCAGTAGATGAGTGGATGAAAAAGCAGTGGTAGATTGACACAATCGAATACTACTCAGCAATAAAAAAGAAGGAAATCTTACCTTTTGCAACAGCCTGGATAGACCTGGAGAGTATTATGCCACCTGAAATAAGCCAGTCAAAGACAAGTACTGTATGATTTCACTTACATGTGGAATCTACTTAACAAAATAAACTAGCAAACAAAATAGAAACAAACTCATAGATACAAAGAATAGACTGACAGCTATCAGAGGTTAAGGGGGGTGGGGGGCTAGATGGAAAAGGCAAAGGAATTAAGAGGGGGG